TTAAAACATTTTGTTTTAAGCTAGTTTAAAACATATATAAAAAAAACATCATATAATTAATAGTTTTCGTACTTTTCAAAAGTTGTATTTGCAACATAATGTCCCTTATCGTCCGAATTTATTTCATCCGCCCGTAGTGAATACACGGAAACGAAAAGTGAACCGGTTCGGAGAAGGCTGAAGGCTGAATACATTTGAGTTAAATTGTAGACACTTGGAATAGCAACTCTGAGCTCGGTGATTTCCGAAACTACAAAAATTCCCAATAACAAAACGAAAACATAGAAAATGAATGAATAAGGTATATTTCACCAGGTACTGTGAGTACTAGTACAATATCAATAACACTGGATCACAAATTTTAGTTTGGGTTTTGTTCTCCAGACGCCACTATCAAATTTCTATGCTCGGTTATTCCAAAAATCGCGTTGATTTTTTTCTATGGATACGTTTTCGAGATATTTGCAATTTACTGTTATTCAGCTTAAAACAAAAAATGGTTCCACTTAATCGCGTATACCTTACAAACCAATTTAACGATCTTCAAATGAGAGACGTCAGGTCAAAGCTAATAAAATTCTCCATAAACCACATATCACAGCGCATGGCAGTGCACGCGAGTGACGAAAGCAGCTACAGTAACATGCTGAAATGACTCGCTCATATATACACGAGATTTGGAAATTTTTATCCAGACGTCCAATCGACATGTTTGAGATATCGTCGGAAAGGTATTGCAGAGTGTGTTCAGAAAATGTACTCAAGCTTCATAAACGATTAACTGGATTCTTAAAAATTAGGCTAAGGTGTTGCCAAACAAAAAACGTCTTACTGCTTTTCCCGGTTTAAGGGGGCATGAGGGTACACCCACTATATTTAGTGTTATTTTATAGGCCAATACCTTTCAAACGATACCTTATATATTAAGTTCCGGCTACTAGTTGGAAAGATATAGAGGTAAATGTGTTTTGGTTCGTGTCTCCACTACGAGATGCTTTGGTATGTATGTGGCGCACAATGGGACTACAGTGGCCAAAAGTAGTAAAAACGGGTTAGCAAATTCTGAAAAAGTAATTACACAGATACATAGCAAAATATCCAGCTAACCCAAAACAAAAAGAATTTTTGATAAAAAGGCATATTTGCAATCATGACACGAGCTTAAAATAGGAAAATTGCGAAAAAAATAAGTTTGTAAGAAAAAATTTTGATTTTGTCGCAAGTAATTTAAAATTAACTTTTTTCCACTAGTTCGCACATATAAAAAGCCAATCTGATTGATGAGCAGTTTTTGGATATATCTGTGGTCAAGCATTGCTTTAAATTTTTATAAATTTTTTAAATGTATAAAATAGTTTACTTTGAAATTCTACATAATTTTGTGAGTATAAAATTTTTCGAGTGCTTAATTTAAAAGGGGATATTTGAAAAGGACCTAGGAAGCGAGCTAAATTATGCCTAGGACAAGTAAACATTGAATATGCGTGTCATATCTCAAATAGTTCCAGCTGCGAGGAACTGCGAGTTCAGCTTCTATTCTTCCTTTTATAGACCCACCTCCTGTAAAATGTATTGAATTTTTATTGTACAGCTGAAGGGGAAGATTCTGGTGTGTACATAAAATAAATAATATGCAATATAAAACAGACATTGAAGAAGATGTAGATATTAATGACTCTCCAATCTATTAACACATTCAACATTCAGCCAAAAATGGACGCTTCTCTAGGCGAGATTCGTTTTGGATGGCAAGAGTTCTGCTGGCCTTAGCTCAGCTTTTGTTGTATAAAATGTAGGTAAATTTAAAAGTTTCAGTGTAAATATATATCGTGCACATAATTTAGTATGCAGGTATTGTAAATGTTTTCGTTTTGTAATTTTTAAAATGAAGAAATAGGAACTTTAGGAATATAATAAATAGGCCTGTTCATTTGCTCCATAATTCATAAAATTTATTGCATGGAGCCAAAAAAGTTGTGTAGAAAGTGGGCGCCGTAATAAGAAATTCTTTATTACCTTCCAAGTTGGGAAATTCTGGCTTAAACGAGCAGTGCACACCGAATTTCATCAAAAAATATTTTTTTTTAAATATGCGCATGTTTTTCTAGAATTACTGGACGATAATGTAAACCGATATTGACGATCTTTCAGATGCATGCTTTTCTCGTTAAAACCAGCATATGCTCTGAATTTCCTCAAAATCGGATAACATTTACTATTTCCGCCCACAAGAGCTGTGGGCGTGGTAGCGCGTTGAACTTTACCATTTTCCACATTTCTAGTACGGTTACTACTTTTGGCCGCAGCTTATATGGGGACGTCCCACTGTGTGGCGTCTGTACATACCTTCATTTAATTTCTTTCAAACTTTCAGGAATTAAAGTACAATTTAATTTTTATAATTTTTCAAAACAAAAGAAAAAACGTTTGAAATGAAGTGAGTCATACAAAATTTAATTAATTTACAAGCAAATGTTTTTTCCGCCTTTTGCAAATTAAATAAGTCCTCTGCAAGAAGGTTTGTTTAAAAAAATACGTATACACATATGGTATATGAAATATCCATTTTCCCTAGCAGTAAACCTTTTAGTGTGGGCAACAATGATATTTTTTAAATAAGGCAGATCGGAATATGCGCTCTCTGGGAAGACAATACCTGTAATTATTATACCATGCGTTAAAGTCATGTATACACAAAACATACCATCTTTTGTCTCTGACAAAATATTTTTTTTATTTTCACTTTTATTTCAACATAGATTGATTAAAAGAAAAATACTGATAACAAGTAAGAAGGTCTAAGTTCGGGCGGAGCCGAACATTAAATACCCGGCGCAAGTATTAAATATATGTTTTTTCACCTTTCCGAAACCTTCCGCTAGATGGTAAGCCGGGGTGTGTATCAATTTTGAGTAAATTAGCGTCCTTCAATTTCGAAATATTGAAGTTTCAAGCATTTCTGAAATTTACCGTTATGTGAGAAGCGGCCGTTATTTTAGTCCGATTTCAATAATTTTCAACGTTTTGCTTATATGTGGCAAGCGAAATAACCACACCGAGTTTGGTACAAATTAGAAGAACGGTTACCGATATACATATATGTGATCATAAGTGGGCGGTGCCACGCCCATTTTCCAAAATTTTACCATAAACGTATTTCTTGGCAAAGAGTTGTTGCAAGCATCAATTTTGAATAAATTAGCTTCAATATTTACTGATTTATCGAAGATTTTGTATTTCTCTAAATTACCATTATATGGGATGTGGGCGTGGTTATTGTCCGATTTTAAAAAGTTT